GCGTAGGATGGCTGCTGTATGGTACAGAGACAGTTTTCCAGCTCTGAAGAGATAATAAAATGTCGAATCAAATCTGAGGAAGTGAGAACTGAGATATTAGCCGCGGTTACTATCAACCTTGGTTTGGAGTCTTCGCCATGTGTAAATAATGTTTAACTTAGCCAGTATTTCATAATCATCATCGTTAACAGCCTTTAAACATCCACTGATTGACATAAGCCTCTCCTTAGAAAGGATTGGTATAAGATTTGTTTCAAGTTTTCCTTCTCTTTGCAGTGGGTGTAGTCTCTTTTACGACACCGGGGTGACTAGCGGGATGAATAGCGATGATGACCCTCCCTATTCTTAGTCCGTCACCACACGGATAATATTTACCCGTGACGAATGATCCTTATGACACAATACCAGACGTCTTCAACTTAAGAATAAATTAACCCATAGATCAACTTAAACATTTTCTCGTGTATTAGATGAACGTAATCGATAACGTACCGTATAGGTACAACGTATGAATAGCATAAATAAAGAATATTTTTACGCTGATCGGGTTAAATAGAATTGGTAAATTTTAATATATTGGTCATGATGAAATTTGAAGATTCTTGCCCACCTCCTCACACACCACCTTTTTTTTTTTCTTTCTTCAGTTCGGCAACCTTTCTCTGGCCGTAATCCATAATAAACTCAATAACACTTCCAAATTTATAGAATTTCACTAAAAAATTAAACGTTCGGTAAGAATCTGTGCTATCTGACAGCTGTTTGGACCTTTTTTTTTTCCGTGCGGAAATCCCCTCGGATACCACCTCTCGGTGGCATGTCGGACTCGAACCGACTAAAACCGCACGCCTTCTCGGGTACTAATAGCCGGGGAACCAGGTATACCCTAGAAATCCTCACACATCACCTGTCGCTATTTGACAAGTAATCATGACAATAGAGTTTATGTTGTAAATTCCTGCATAATTGCAACATAAGAATGCAGTCAAAATTCTAGAATTTGTAGTAAAACTGTTTAGAAATACATACGCATCTCTTTCTACGCAGTGGAAACGCGCGTCTTGTACAATTACACCGATTGAATTTCTGTCACGCTACCAAACAGAAACGTTATTGTTCATACACTGTTGCAAGCAATTTTCAACCTTATGGTAATAAATATACAAACTGCGACAAGTTACTGTAGTATGTGTTTCAAATAAGGTTTTGGTGTCAACGATCGCTGCCTATTGTGGGTAGCAGCTCGCCGTGTTTTTTTCTTGACTTAGTCTGTTCTTATTGCGAAATTGAACTTACTACGCAATTGCGTCTCATATTAATGTGTTAAGTTCATATACATGACACATACGAAAGTTTTGCATGTGAACGTCAATATTGACGCGAAAATATATTAGTGTTTGTACTATGGTAACTCGACTCGAACCGACCAAGAACCGCACGCCGTCTCGGGTACCTGTAGTCAGGTCACTAGGTGTACCCTAGAAAGGAAATCCCTGACCAATCAGACACCTACCAAATCCCACCAAATTAATGTATTCCCAAAATTATTATTCTATTATTGGGGTCCAAGTGCTCGTGCTATGTATAAACAACTAGTTAAGCAACTGATGACAATTCTCAGGATCAGAAAGCCGGCCTTTTTCTAGCACAGAGAATTAGCATTGCCATTCAACGTGGCAATGCTATGCAATGGTTATTATTCTTCTTTTCTTAGGGTTCTTCCAGGATTAAAGATAATGTTAGGAAAACTCAGAGTATGTGATTAAATTATATGCGGTGAAATTGGGACTAAAATTATAGTGGGCAAATTAGGAAGACGCCTATCTCCACCCCTTCGGGGATAAAGACGTGAGTGTATGTGTTGCATATGAGTATATTGTAAATATATATGTATCGCTTCCCTTTTGAATGTATCAGTTTCTTTTACTCATGTAGTCAAAGGCGTGCTACATCGACATTAGATTTTTATCAAAGTTGTTTTTTATAAAATGTTATTGTATTTTTGTTGTTACGGTCAGTCGATGTCCTTGTTCTAGTGACTTCTTTAAACACAGGACATAAACTGCTGCTTGTTCGAGCTTCTGCTACGTATTCTTTATTGAAAAATTATTTGATGATGATCGGAAAATAATTTATCATCTACTTCATATGTATGACAAACTTGTCACATATTGGCAGATAAGAACAGGTCATGTGTAAAAAAAATAAAAGGTTTCATTAATCTTATTTTCAAAGATTACAGAGATTAGAAACTTCGATGGTAGATATTTTCGTCAAATTGAGACTATTTTTATTATTTCAAAAAGTTTAAAGGCCGTGTAACTTTCCATTGCTACATACATAACTTGGCAAACATCATATATTATACAGTCCATGAATGAGTTTTGGTTTAGATGCTTCAATGCGAATCGCATGCGATAGTGATGTACACGACCACGTGCCAAAAAATAAGCGGATTTGCTGCGCATACTCATGTGATGGTTTCGAAAGTGAAGTACTTTGATACTATTGACTACAACCTTCTCTTTTAAATGCAATAACGCTATACAGTTTATTAATTTCGTAAAATTTAATGTCAATTCGATAATCATTTTATTAAATTAATTGTTAAAATTTATTTAACATGTGGACTGGAATTGGACTGAAACTGCTGTAGGAAGAAGCTGAAATAACTAAATACTCAAAAGTAATCTTTAAAGGTGTATATTTGTATCAGTGTAATAAAATCTTGTTTTTCCATTTCATATCCAGGAATTTATTTCAAATTAAATTAAACTATCAACAGGTACATTTTTTTATTAAAGGTGTCATATATATAATGTGCTTGTATGTAAAATAAAATAAAATGGTAGTTTTATATGTTTACCGATCAAATAAGAACTTTTACGAATTTATTTTCATTTCCACGAATATCATAAAATCGCAACATTAATGTTAAGGTATACATTGATTTTCTTTGAACACTTTATTTAATTCTAATACCAATTTATCTTCCTTGATTTTCTTTGAACACTTTATTTAATTCTAATACCAATTTATCTTCTATATAAATAAAAAATAATAGTCTTTGATATAAATGTGCATTTAATAATTATTTATTTTATATGCAAAGATAAGTTACCAATATTGCTTTGGAAATGGGGACATTTTGGAAAAATCAATTGTAATTTTTCATAAACTACTGTACAGGACAACATCTACAGCGACATCGCTTTCAGTAAAACAAAAGAAATGGAGTAATTAGCGGAGTTTGTCTGAAGAACACTACAATCTATATATCCAAAAAATGGTAACTTATAATTTAGTGATGTCAACATCGCGTTAGTGTCAATGGTCGGTTATGTTGCGCCCAGCGGACGTGAACAAAACCCATATTCGGTCCGTACCATGTTCATTATTAGCACCGTAAAAGTCCATAACACATTCGCGTAAACCATGTCAATATATAACATCACATATATAACATCACATCACATATAACAGGATTTAGAGTCCACTGCTGGACATAAGCCTCTCCTTGATATATAACGCAATTTATAAAAAACAAGCTAAAAATAACTATTATTATTACGGGGAAAATATAAGCGCTTAATTAGTTTCTAATTATTCATTTGATTTTATATACGTAAATATATGTATGAATGTAGGTACTTAAATTACTTTAAAATAAAAGTACATCATTATTAGAAAGTAAACAAAATATAGTCTAATGTTCTTTGTTTAAGAATTGTTTTCTGTTTATTAGAGAAAAATATTTTTTGATTATAACCTAAATAAAATAATATATCTCACACATTTTACACACGGCCATCTGATCCCAAACTAGGCAGACTCTGTACTATGGGTAACCAGTATAAACATACTTATATATTTTTAAATACATACATATTATAAATAAATTACACCCAGACAGAACCAATAACTGTGCTCATCTCACAATATTTGTCCTGGGTGGGATCGAACCCACGACTGGCTTAGCAGTTAGGGTCACTAACCACTAGACGAACAGGCTCGTCAAATGTATTCTTAAATTACAAGTGCTGAGGCATAACTAGGTCAATGACGTGCCAGTCATCATCACATACAACCGGTGTCAGATAGCGATCGAAACGGTACAACCTCAGTGCATTGCGAACGTGCATGGTAAATATTTGTTTGGTTCTATGATTACATTGTTGACCTCGATCGGCAGTAAAACCAACCGATAATCATGTTTTTCACGTTTGATTTACTATTTGATAGGTTGAGATTTCAGAAAGTATTCTTTCAAAAAACTGAATGGTTAACATGATCAGTGGTCACAATGGCAGGCATGTACCTACCAGTGCATACTAACGAAGCTATAGCAACTTGTCCATAGGTATTTCTACACTTTGATTACTGTACTTTAACATCATAGAGAAATTATGCTAATAATGCTGTTTATAGGGTGGTCGTAATTTCCTAAACTGTCTTCGGTTATTACGCGTGTGGCATCATAGCTCCTAAACGCATGAGTTGGTTCTGATTTAGTTTTTTCTTTGTGTTAATGGTACTTTGTTCGAGAATGTTTTGGCTATATTTAAAAATCATCAGCTCTTTATTACAGTTATAATAGTTGAAGAAACTTAGGTATTTTGATTTGTATATTATAATTGTACTCTCTACTATGTTGACCATTTGATATTTGCCATTACTTACTACCTATAAACACTGTACTCTTTACCCCACGTAAGTTTGCAATTAGGTTTGTAAGTCAAACTTGGTTATAATGTTTTGCCACTACGTTGCACTGTTTTATTGATGTATGAGTTAGCTGTCGTTAAACATGCGCACACGACGAATGACCTGCTTTTGTTTGTTTTCGCATGAGTATATTGGTATATTACATAATGGTTCGATCTATACTGATGCTTTCTTATAACAACTTTTGCTCATTCAAATTGAATGTTTAACATTATAATTTTGTGTCTTTTTATAGAGACTTAATGTTTATTGAATATTTTAAGTTCTTAAAAGTAATGAAGGTACTTCTGTAAAGCAACACGTTTAGGATTTGATGCAATTTGTGTTTAACATATCGTGGAGGTAACTTCAATATTAATATTTCCCTTAAATGCCCGTTGTATTGATAGTGGTAGATAAATCAAAAACGACTTAGTGTCTGATAACTAACTGCTTTATAAGAGCGTCTAAAACAGACTAAGCTTAAGCTAAACCTACAGGGAACTTTTGCACGAATAGATGTATGGTAACCTAACGAACTTAGATCGTGCAAGGTTTTATTTCATTTGTTTTATCATTGTGTGACGGCAACTGCTTACCGTCAGGCCGATGGTATGTGAGCTTTGCACAAATCACTTATCCATCTGTAAACAAGTCAAAAACATATCAGAATATTATGACCAATGCATAAAAGGGCATTTCAACAACTGTCCTTTATTTCATTAATGTGTTCTCAATTTTCACTATATATATATAAATATTATGTAATGTTTCCAGGAGTCGTTGGGTGGCGGGGTGTTTGGTTCGTTAGGGACGTCGGCCCCAGAGGGTGGGGAGCGCCGCGAGGGGGGCAAGCGCGGACGACGGCCCGGCAGGAAGGCGCAGCTCGACAAACAGGACATGAAGGCCAAACTAGGTATTAATGCAGTTTTATGTTTATTTTTAATGAATCGTCTTTTCGTACTAACAAGCAAGCATCGTTAGTCACTCACAATTTGCGCTATAGATCCCGGTACTTGGGATTTTGCATCCATCCAAACAAATTTTATCATTGGTACAATTTTAACTACTATAATACACGTATAGTTATAGTATACATACACATAAGTCAGTAGGCATCAACAGGGTTAGCAGTGTCACGTGTGCGTTTCAGACTTAGCATAAAAACATTTTGTGCCTTTTCAAGACCTACATGAAGCGAGGTCATTTCAATAATGAATAAATATATTATTGTAAGGTTAAGACTTACAAAGTACTGGATAAAAAACAGTTCGGTGACAACATGTGTGCAGTGAGTTTTGTTCGCAATAATCATAACGAAGTCGTGACTTTAAACTTCTTAAAAAATGTGTAATAGACGATATAGTACACACCTACATAGTTAAACTGCGCAGTTTGCTTTTTAACACCACACACAATGTGCCAACATGTACAGTAGGTATTGTGTGCGCGCATCAAAAATTTTTAGTAGTCCAATTTACCTAGAAACTGACTTTAAATTATTAAAAAAGGGGATTAAGTATATATAAAGTTTATTAGAACAAAATATTTTTTTAATATTTCATTATACGTTTAATTTTGAATTTTAAATATATATTTATTTTTAAATAGGAATATGAATAGTACTACTTCTATCTGTCTTCTATTCTCGTAAACTTTTTAAACTTAGGCTAAATGCTTGTGTCGGTATAACTTTCTGTTACAGACATGATTGTGCCAAGGCTGTAACAATCAGATAATAATTTCAGTTAGGTAGATCGTTTAAAAGTTTTAAATGTACAAACAAGGGTTTGCGGTTTTTTTTTATATTTTTACTCTTTCTCTCTTGCCCATTTGTCAAAAAAAACCGCGTTGACAGCAATCGCTGTACACTTCGTCTACCCATCTCTTTCTTTCTCGCCATCAGATCATCGTTACATGCTTGCAGAGCGCAGCAGGCAGTCGGCGCGTGAGTGCCGTGCTCGCAAAAAGCTCCGCTACCAGTACCTAGAGGAGCTGGTCGCTGACAGAGAGAGATCAGTGCTGACATTGAGGAAAGAACTGGATAAGGTATCTGACTTTAATATCATTGGAATTTAGATTTTTTTAATATAAAGTGACTATTCTCATTAATATGTTTGGTTGAAACGCACTTTTTGTAGTAAAAGGTGGCTTTTACCTTTTTTTTTTATAATAAGAAAGCGCAACTTCACAGTAGGTTATATTACTTAACTTAACTGTTGGTTTATTTGATTTTTGTACAAAACCATCAATGAACTAAATGAATGAAATGAACTAAACTTTCATCTTAAAAATACGTCTTTGAAATTTACTTTTGAACTATGTACCTACATAATTATAATAAAACATCTGATGAAACAAGTATTTCGCCTAACAAAGTATTAGTAAGTAAAACTATTTATTAGTTATAATAAACATATAGTTTACTACAAACAAGGTGATAAATTAGTTTATAGGCATAAAAAATAACTTATTCAATAAACAGACGGACAATGAAATATTAAACCTAACCACTTTTAACGAAGTGCAAAATATTTTTGCTTGGCAATCGTACAATATCCAATATACCTGTTAACGTCGGATTAACATTTGTTATAAAAGCAAAACATAGTATCACAATTCAATACATGTCTTTTTCTTTTCTAGTATTACAAATGGAACCAGGAGTTAGACCAAGGCAGGATGCCCGAAGGTCTCGAAGCGATGCTTCAAGAAATGGGTATTGTCAAACAGGAGGAGGCAAAGCCATTTTAACACCGTAATTTCACCATTAAGCACACCGTTACATCAAAACAAATATTTTATCTCTGAATGATTATTCATACAAGTGACTTTCACTAAGATCTGAACACTATACTCATCTAAAAAAAAAAAAACAATTCATATGGTGGATACAAATTTCCCGCCCATTTTCATAGACACAATGATACTTTGGCATAATTGTTTAAAAAAATAAAACACGACTACGAAGCGCGTCTCTAAAGGGGTAAACACAAAGCCAACTATAACTTATTTATTGTAAGTTTAAACGAAATGGGGATCAGCTAAACGGCGATAAGTTGTTTTATTCTTTGGTTGAGAGTCAAATATTTATAAAGCTGTGTTGAACTCTGAATATAACATCATAAAATCGGCCCACAAGTACACCAATTTAAATACTGGTATGTTATAAACGGGTCAATTGAACTAGCCTGACTAGTGGCTGATTTTATATCCTTTGTTTAAATGGTTTAGAAAAGAAAGAGAATGAATACATCAGAAACATCTACGCGTACAACTTTCATACCAGAAACATTTTTTCTCTTTTCAACTCATTTAACGAGTTCTCTACTTACCACAACTCAGCTTTGTAGTGTTTATATTTCGGATGACAACCTGATATACCTACTTCTCTCCGCTTCGCTTCTCCCCTTTCTGATCTATTAAAACCTCAAAAATAATACAGTCTGTTCTAGTACCATTGGGTAAAAAAATTGTCTCTCTACCAGCAAAAAAAGCAAAATTATTTACAATACCTACATATTTATTTATGTTACATCAAATCATTCAATTCGTGTTATTGTTTTTTTCGTATTGTTACCGATAATTGTTTTAAAAATACTGTTTTCTTACTTTCTAGTGTTTCTTTTATAGTGTGTTTGCAAAATTTATCTTTTTTTTATACATGAATTAATTTTAACGGCATCAAATGTCAGTGTTGAATGGGAAATATTTTATTATTGATTTCATAACGTGTATCGTATCATCTCTTAAAGTTGAATGGAACTAATTATTTATCTAAAGTGATATCCTACTATTTTTATATGGCTGTATCCTAAATATTAAATGTAAGAAAATCCTTTAAAGGAATTTTTGTATATATATATATACTGTATTTGCAATGTCGGAATTGTTTAAAGTAATTAGTTATACCTACGTGTTTTTATATTTTCGTTTTAATGTTGTGTTATTTTAGTTTTTAATAATCATTTCATTTAAGTAAAAAATATATAGTTTTAATCGTATGTAAGTTTGTGTTTATGTTTCAAACTAAAACTAAAGTCGATGTTTAGAATTTAATGTGTAATACAAGTCCCATAATGTGGGCGATGGATTGAGAAATGGTCCTAAAATAAAAATAACAGCGAAAAATAGGTCGTACGGATTGTTTAGCGTTTCAAATAATATATTTCGTATATAGTTTCAAATTATATTCTTTTAATTTCGATGAACAATTAGTACAATACACTAAAATATAGTACACGCAGAAAAATAGTACGAGCATAGAAAATAAAATAAAATCATTCACACATCATAACATACACATAATACAATAGGTGCAAATTAAATTTTGCAACTTTCAAAAAAAAAGTACACCCAACTAAAATATAGTACACACTATAAGCAAGTGAATATAGTGCAAAAATCGAAAATAAAATAGGTAATTCGCATTATTTTATTTTATGTATGCAAATTATTTTATTGTCGTTCATTTTAAATCTCGTAATTTGAAGAAAAAATGTACAACAAACTAAAAAATGGTACAAGGAACTAAAACATAGTATGAGCAACTAAAATATAAAATTTAAGTATTAAACAATGCTTAGCGTATCTAATTCACGACAATCTACTATCGTAATATTTTTCGGACGGGAACCCGCTCTTTATCGACTTGGTTTTACGTCATCACATCACACATCAACAGCCTTTACTAGTGCAGTGTTGATGTCCTGCGTAGTTTGCTCCCTTAGTCGCCTCTTACGACACCTACGGGATGAATAAGGGTGGTGACACTCTGTATTCTTAATCCGTCACCACAGGTATCTGACATTTCTTCCTTTCTGTTTTATGAAATTAAGTTTATTATATAATTTAAATTTAAATCATAATTGATTTCAATCATTAACTTAAAATACAATTTTATCAAACCATATTTTTCGTTCCCGACCTTCGTTCACGACCGTCGTTTCTTTTTGTTCTCACTAGTGAGCAGCTTAAACTAAAAATATAGTGTGCAAGTATATATAGTGATCTTATTATATTGTTTTCATAATTAAAAACTAAAGCACTAACTACACGATTCATCAAGCTTTGTAAAAAGCACAAACAAAGGGTTTTCCAATAAGAGGTGTTATTTTAGTATTCAAAGGAAAATGCAATTTTTTAAGATAAATAATCGGCTGTTTATTTTATAATAAAGAGGAAGGTATGCCGTTAATAATGGAAGATAACATCAGCCAAATGGCTACCACGACCACGCTTACAGGACCATATCCTTTTAATGAAATTTTGCATAACCAAATCGCAAAGTGGCTGCCCTATGTCCTCGATAGCCTCATGAATTCCATCTTTGAGGTCTTGAATCGACGCTGGGCTGTTGGACGTAGACCTTATCTTTCACGTGGCCCCAAAGGAAGAAGTCGCAAGGTGTTAAATCACAAGATCTCGGTGGCCAATTGTGATCACCTCTTCGAGAGATAACACGGTAAGGAAACTTTTCCCGTAAAAGAGCAATGGTTTCGTTGCTTGTGTGGCACGGAGCGCCGTCTTGTTGAAAGTAAACGTTGTCCAGATCAATACCATCCAACTCCGGCCATAAAAAAATCATTAAACATATCTCGATAGCGCAATCCATTCACCGTAAGTGTTGATCCAACCTCATTTTCGAAAAAGTAAGGTCCAATGACCCCGCCGGACCATAAACCGCACCAAACAGTCACACGTTGAGGATGGAGAGGCTTCTCAACAATAACTCTTGGGTTTTCCGAGCCCCAGATGCGACAATTTTGCTTGTTGACGTAGCCGCCTAGGTGGAAATGGGCCTCATCGGTCAAGATGATTTTTCGATGGAATTCCAGATCATTTTCATGCATTTCAAGTACCCAAGTAGGTAAGACACGACGTTGTTGATGATCGGCCGGCTTGAGTTCTTGTGTTAACTGACCTTTATAAGCCTTAAGACCCAAGTCTTTATGCAAAATACGGTGTAATGACGTTTGTGGAATGCCCAATTCCAAAGAACGACGAGGAATGGACAAACCTGCGTTTTCTTCAACACTTTGGGCTACAGCAGCAATATTCTCAGTTGTTCTTGAGCGACGTGCACGGGTTTTATTCTTCACATCACTAACTTGTCCCAACAGCTCGAATTTTTCCACCAATTTCTGTATTGCGGTCCGACAAGGTGCTTCACGACGACCAAAAAATGCTTTAGTTTTGCGAACTGTGACTGCAAGATTTTCACCATTTTTGTAGTGAATTTTAATAATTTCAATGCGTTGTTGAAGTGTGTATCGTTCCATTTTTAGTAATGGCGTAGTTTCTACTTGTCAAATGTCAAAAAATAAAAGCTTCAAAAGTGACATCTACTGAAATACCGGGTGATTCAAAATAACACCTCTTGTTGGAAAATCCTGTACATAATATATCATCATGATCTTTTAGAAACATTTGCTGTATATGTAAAAATATTATGTGCGTATAAATAGTATTAAGATATGTATTGATCTGATACAAAATTATTGTTTATATATATATATTTTTAGGGTGTTATGTAGTCATTTATTGTTTTTAACGTGCGAATGAAATATGCTTCTAATAACTGTGCTGTTTTTTAGGTTTTGTGAACAATTTGTTGGGTCTTGAGTGTCAATTCTTTTTAAGAATTGAGGATTTTAAAATTGTTTTAACATGTATTCTGTTAAGCGTGGAGTTTTAATAGTTTATCTATAGAATAGTTTCTTGATAATTTTATTTAAGCATATCATAAAGTCGTTACGACTACTCGTCAATGGAGTGATACAATCATAGATTCTTTCTTTTTGTCGCCAAATAATAAAATGGCGTTGTTATTATTACGTGTACGAGTATTTACTATTGACGAATATGTACATAATGTGCAGGTATGTTAGTAGTTAATGGTATATAAGACGCAATTTTTTAACTGTCTATAATAAGATGTGTGTGTGATATGCTTTGGCTTATATATTTTTTTGTATGTTATGAAATGAAATGATGAAATGAAATTTAGTAAATTATGTAATAAAGTCTTATTTTCACCTACACAATCATATAAGATATCTTAAAGATTTAAGTGATATTTATGTTTATAAATGTTTAATTCCCTTTCGTTCAATTATTAGTTTTATTATGTTTATTTTAACGTGGCTTAATAGTCATATAATAATTACGTTACTAGTTATTAGTTTTATTTACTCGGGGATGAGAAATTATAATTATTATTTATCTTACAAACTAATAACATATTTCTAACACTTTTTTTTAAATATACATTTTTTTACAGTTAAAACTATTTATACTATATATATTTTACTGACTGTTTATAGTACGTGTATAAGTATAGAAAAACAACATTGGACGTAAAGTATAAAGTATCAATATAATATGTATAATATATATACCTACTAATTATGTTTTGTTATATTAATTATTTATTTATGTTATATTAATGACACATAATTTAATGATGTTCTCATCCTTGGTTAGTAAATAATTTATTTGAGAAATTTATGTCGGCAGTCCGCCTTAGGTTTATTTATGTTTAGTATGTTTTGATATTATCTCGTTTTCATTTAATTTTAGTGTATTTTTTTTGTTTCATAGTGATTAAAATTGTAAATAATATTATTAAAGTTTTTTGTAAGTTTTTATAATTATTATTATTATTTCTTTCTCGTATGTGCACACACAGAATGAAGGAGTTCAGAAATACAATAAAGAACAACGGCAGAAACATATTTACCTAAAACTTAAGC